GTCAGTTTTAGTCAGTCCAAGTGTGTGAATATGTGCACGAATTGTTCAAATCCTATGGATGCGTGGACTTGTGTGATAGTTTTAGCAATGTTTTATACTGTGGGGCTCGTGTAAACTGTCCGCATGATTGTGGTGGATAATGAATAGACTTAAGAATTCTGTTAGTGTGATTTCTAAAATGGACTTGTGTCAACCATATTTGTAAGGTCGGAATGGTTGTGGCTATGTGGCATGCTGGTTGTTGGTGTCCTTAAATGCACAGAAGGTGCTGGGGAGCTTTATGTATGTTGACCAATGTGGAGTTGTAATGGGAAAGTATCCAGATTAACTGGATGTTAGCCAGTGATACTTTAATGAGTGGCTGGGGTAGCAGATGGCAGGTGTGGATTCTTTCACAAAGTAGTGCATCTACCTTGAGTCCTCAGATTGTGGGGTCTTTTAGAGGAAGGACCATCAGAGGATTGTCACTGCACATCACATTGGTGTGTCTGCGCAATCGGGCTGTGGGTCGCCCGTAGCAAGCACTTGGTACATAATTAGCCAGGGTGTATGGTGCATGTCTGGAGAGACTGCCGATGTGAGTACCTGGAAGGCTGTAGTAGCCTTGACAGTCAGTCACTGATCACTAATTTATCTGCGTCGCAATGTGTTCATCAATAAAAAAAATTTTTAAAAAGAGACTGATCGCACTACAAGATCATCTTTGTGTGATGTAGTATATTACAGTACTCGTAGACAATTTTGGTGGTTAGACAGTGTTGGTGGTTACAATAGGACATGTTAACTTATTACATGTGCCTGGCATTTAGTGGTACTATTGTTGTTGACCTCTGCTTGCTCTCCTGTAGGAACCTAATGATCGTTTTGTTGCCTGAGGGAGCTCTTGTATGTGACTGAAGCAAGTCATATACCCTGGGCGCTTGGTAAGATGTGTACCTCCTAAGAACACATCTAACACACTGGCCCCACTCATTGGAGCATTGGGACCAAACAGGAAAGCCTTATCTGATGCCTGCTTTTCCTATTTTGATGTGCTGTGTCCAGATTCAATTACAACAAAGAATGTGCTGACAAAAGAAAAGCTTTTATTCATGCTAACCCTACAGAAATTAAACTGCTCCCAGCTAACAGGCAGAAGTTGCCAGATTGAATGCAAGTTAGTACAGATTGAAATTAAATGCAAGTATAAAATACAACAAAGAAATTATCCTCATCTTTACCTTGTTGTGCTTATATATCACCTATGCAATTCAACTCTAAATCTCTTTCCTCCTGTGCAATTTGATTTTTTTATTTCAATATCCAGTGTGAAATCTAGTGCAGCACATCTGGCTTCTCTCAAGTCCAGCACATCTGGCTTATCTCATTACCATCTGTCAACAGTTTCTCTTGGACATCCCTACTTCAGCCCGTCTGTTTCCAAACTGAGAGCCTGTTGTGTAATTCTCTGTTGGCTTTGTTTTAGAATGTGCCCAATATATCGCCATCTCCCTTCTTGTATAACTGTTGATACTAGCATACCAGCAGTCGTTCAGAGATGTCTCCAGTTTCTTCACTTTCTTGAATTCATTCCAAATAAATATCACCCTCTTCTCCCCTCTCCAATCATCAAATTCTAAACTGTCATGGCAAATCATGGAGTTTTCTACTATCACAAAAATTATAACTGTCACAAAAAAGCAACATAGCAAAATGTATAATAAATTTGAATTCTGTACAAATCGCAGCTCAATTCAACCTAACATAGATACCAGGCAAGGTCCCAGAAGGTAAATGTGACCATTGTGATACTGATCAAACCATCCACTGAGTGCTTATCTGTCAACAAAATAGCAGCCTAGCATCATATGCCAGAGGCGCCACTGTCATTTTAAAAAAAAATATAAGAAAGGTTCTATACTTTAATTTTAACTTAAGTCTGCAAACACATTACTTGATTATGTTGAAGGATTTGTGTTTGAAATTTGACTTGATCTTTGTTAGTGTCAAAGTGTTGGTTTTATCACTCCACTCCCAAGTTTTGACTTGTTCCCCACTGCATCAGCTTCTAGAGTTTGTGCCATCCCCAACTGGTTATCTATTCTACTTGTATCCAGGAAATATTCATTAGGGGCCTCTCAGAAAGTGATGCAGGTTCTGGAGAATCTCTAAAATGGAACCATTTGAAGTAGAAGTAGAAGACAAAGACAGACTTTTCACCCCACTAGGACCTCACACTGAGCGATAAAGACCAAGTGACACAAAGTGCCACCATGCGGATGAGGATCACCCATGGAGAGGTCCCAGAAACTCCGTTCAACCGGTAGGTTATATTAGGACCACCGGCAACAGCCAGGGTGGGGCTTTGAAATAACGAAAAATGGGTCCCACATACCAGACAGAGAGAGGAAATGTGCCAGTTATACTTACTGTGACAGACCTCAGAACTAGAACAGGCATGGAAATCAACCAGGGCTGTAGTTAAATAATTGTACATAGTGTGGCAGATAGCCCTAAAACTAATAGAATGAAGTGGAGACGGCAACAACAACAACAACAACCAAAAAAAAAGTTTTTAAGAAAAAAGATAAGGTAGAAGAGTTGAAGCGGCCAAGGCTTAAAACAGTTCAATGGGACCATTTTGTGAATGAGGCTGGAAAAGATAAGACACTAGGATGGTTCTGAAAACCAGGCAGCAAAACCTAGATTGTCTGTTTTATGGGACATGCTTTAAACAAGACTGGTGACATATTTGTAACAATGATGATTATCTGTCAGACCAGACAGATTTAGGAAAGCACCTCACATTACTGTCTTATCTTATTACCAAAATTAACTATTTTTCATCTTTAAAGAAAATAATAGTATGCATTATTCTTGTATTATTACGCAAATGAAAAGCATAGTATCATATTAAGTTACTTTATGGGGTTGGGGGAGGGGGTCATAATATACAATATTCATACACCACACCACACCACTGAACACCAGCTAGTGACCTAGCAGATGCACTGAGTGCACAAAACCACCATCAGCCAACTAACAGAAACAGACATGCACATTAATTTATAAATACAAGCAAATCATGAAGAAAGAAAAAGGGGGGTGGGGGGGGGGGGGGGGGGGGTTTACAAAGATTCAGATGTCTGTACATGGCTTAGGTACAGGCAGGCATAAAAACATATCAAATGTTTTCTTTAGCTGATGACATGAAACAAACTTTGACAACTGAAGAGCAGCATCTCGCCCTATTTACAATCTTCTTCTTCTTAGCGTTCACCAGCTGTACACTCTGGCGTAAAGTTTTGGTTGTTCGTCCACTTCTGGACTGCAGTCCTGCTCCAGAACCTGAGTGTTGCGTGTGCATCAGTTTTACAGATCTGATTCAATTGAATGTAGACTGCTGGTTCCTTGCCTCTCAGGCAGATGCACTCCGACTTCAAAGGAAGCTCCCCAGTTAGTCGACTCTTACGACATGCTTTTGGGGAGGCAGTAGGTCTATTCTTGTTTTCCCCACAATAGGGCCCCGGAACCCACACGGGGGCCTATTTACAATGAAATGATTATAAATGATCAGGGACAATTTTCTCAGAGACTGTTGAGTGTAAGCTGGTCAAGAGCTGTTCAAGAGGACTTTGGGGGACAGTATCAGATCATTAGTGACAGCAGATAAAGAAACACAAAGAACAAATAAGAAATACAATATATTGTATCTAAATATTCATTAGTCGAGACTGATACAGGAAGAATTAGAGGCATGTTATGGTATAAGGAAAAATCAGCATGACATAGTGAAAGTAAATATGGGAGAGGGGGGGGGGGGGGGGGGGGGGGGGTGGGGGGGGGGGGGGGGGGGCGTGGGGTGGGGGGGGGGGGGGGGGGGGGGGGGGGGGGGGGGGGGGGGGGGGGGGGGGGGGGGGGGGGGGGGGGGGGGGGGGGGGGGGGGGGGGGGGGGGGGGGGGGGGGGGGTGGGTTAGAACGACATTTTTCAAATATATGTTTTGAATACTATTGCTATACGTTTGAAATTTCTTGCATGTTTTTATAATAAGAAGAGCAACCAGCCGAACGGTAAGAACACTGGGCTCTCAATCGGGAGACCCGGGTTCGAATCCTCAGTAAGGCTGAGGATTTCTTCTGTCAGGGGCAAAATAAAATCTTCACCTGCACAGTCGTGGTGACAGTACTAACCATGCGGAACTAAAACATCAGGCTCAAAGACCTCACTGCCTACACTGCAAAAGTGGTATAAAAAGGTAGTAACTGGCATTTTTTTTTTTGTTGTTGTTGCTTAATGAAGATCTGCACTGGAATGTAACATTATTTGATTGAATGAAGATATATTTAACCTTGTCTAATAAAAACTTTTCTCTTTTGCATAATGAGTTTAAACATTTAGGAGCACCGATATTCACTTAAACCAAAATAAATGGATAGAGAAAGCCACACCTGTAAAACAAATGTGTATGTAAAACACAAGTTCTGGACTAGAACTTGGGTCCTGAAGTGGATAAACAACCAGAACTTTCCACTGGCCTTTACAGAATAAGAAGAGAGCCTATAAAAGGTGCCAGTACTGCACCCATTAAATACCATAAGGAAAGAGCCCTGGCTAGAATATTCCAAGAAAAGAGCTACCATCAGACGGTTCTGTCATTTTCCTAACTGACTAGACATGAATGAAACTCTCACCATCCACTATCTTCTATGTGTGGCAATAAGTGCCTACAAACCAGCTGAGACATGTTTTCATTGTCATTAACACAACTGACTGTTTGTGTTTTTCTAATGACCCCACACTAATATTGAAGCCTGGGAAGCAAGCAACCAACAGTCTGCACATAAATATTGCACATAAATATGCAAATGTGCATGAAACGCCCAAGTTCTGGATCAAGACTAGAGTCCAGAAGCGGATGAATAATTGTGAGCGCAAAAACGAAGGAGATATTGAAGCAGCCTCATAAATAAGAAGTTATTTCACAAAAACTAATTAATAAATGAACTACAAAAAAATGGAGTTAGATTTTCCCCAGATTAACATAAACTTTATGCTCCAGCCAGACAATTTCTGGCTCCTTCGACTCATTCTGCAAGGCAGTAACAATGGTGTTGCGAAACTCATGCTTCAGAATAAAGCAGATCTGAAATTTCATAAAATAAAATAAATGTTAGTAAATTAAACAGAAAATAGTAACCTTTCTACAACTCCTTCAATCTCCAACAAAATATATCAGCTCATGTGCTGAAACGGTTTATGCCGCAATCAAAGGTTGCCTAGAATCTTCTCTTGCTTTGCTCTACTTGATTGCATTCTCGTCTATCTTTCTAGAAGTTACCAAATTTTCCAGTTTTAATACTGACTACCTTTTTTTTTCCCCAACAGTTTGTGATAAGCTGCCTTTGCATATTTTAAAACAGATTATTTTATTCATCCATGGTTATTTTCAGTTTTTTTCTATAAAATCATGTGGATTAAAGAAATGTATTTTTTGATTACTCATTAATCCTTTCGCCCTGGCAAAACAATACAAAACTCCCTTTCCCAACCACCCGACACCCACCCCACCCCCCACATGCACACACGCACACACAAAGACTCTTATAATTTGTTTTTAATCAGCAAACAATTATTTTTTTTCACATGTCAAAAAAAAAAAAAAAAGATAACAGAGGTAATCAATAAACACAAACAAAGTTAGGCACTAAATGGAATACATTCCCCACAGCCTAAAAAACACATGTATGTATCAGCCTACTTATTTTTGCATTCCTTCTGGGCTAGACTAACACAAACAGGTAAACAGACTATTGCAGTGTTTCCAAACTTTTCTTAGTTGTTGCGTATTTTTTCAATTACAATTTTTCCGCCGCGCCCTAACCTAAGTAAAAGTATGACCATTAGTGTCTTGATTAAATAAATTATGAAGCTTTTACAATATTTTGTGCGCGCCCCTGCAAAAAGGTCATGAATCCCCGGAGCGCCACGGCGCAGTTTGGGAATCACTGCACTATTGCATAGTGGCTGTTTTTATGAAGGAATGTCACAAACTAAACTGAATCCCCTATAATAACAAGTCAGGCTAGCTTTGAAAAAGGAATGACATCAAACTAAACTGAATTCCCCCCCACCCCCCCTCCCCAATAACATGTCAGGTTAGCATTCATGGAGGAATGACATCAAACTAAACTGAATCCCCTATAACATGTCGGGCTAGCTTCCATGAAGGAATGACATCAAACTAAACTGAATCCCCTATAACATGTCGAGCTAGCTTCCATGAAGGAATGACATCAAACTAAACTGAATCCCCTATAACATGTCGGGCTAGCTTCCATGAAGGAATGACATCAAACTAAACTGAATCCCCTGTAAAATGTCGGGCTAGATTTCATGAAGGAATTACATCAAACTAAACTGAATCCCCTATAACATGTCGGGCTAGCTTCCATGAAGGAATGACAAACTAAACTGAATCCCCTATAACATGTCGAGCTAGCTTCCATGAAGGAATGACATAAAACTAAACTGAATCCCCATAACATGTCGGGCTAGATTTCATGAAGGAATAAAAAACTAAACTGAATCCCCTACAACATGTCAAGCTAGCTTCCATGAAGGAATGACATCAAACTAAACTGAATCCCCTACAACATGTCAAGCTAGCTTCCATGAAGGAATGACATCAAACTAAACTGAATCCCCTATAACATGTCGGGCTAGCTTCATGAAGGAATGACATCAAACTAAACTGAATCCCTTATAACATGTCGGGCTAGATGTCATGAAGGAATGACATCAAACTAAACTGAATCCCTTATAACATGTCGGGCTAGCTTCATGAAGGAATGACATCAAACTAAACTGAATCCCTTATAACATGTCGGGCTAGATGTCATGAAGGAATGACATCAAACTAAACTGAATCCCCTATAACATATCGGGCTAGCTTCATGAAGGAATGACATCAAACTAAACTGAATCCCCTGTAAAATGTCGGGCTAGATTTCATGAAGGAATGACATCAAACTAAACTGAATCCCCTATAACATGTCGGGCTAGATTTCATGAAGGAATGACATCAAACTAAACTGAATCCCCTATAACATGTCGAGCTAGCTTCCATGAAGGAATGACATCAAACTAAACTGAATCCCCTGTAAAATGTCGGGCTAGATTTCATGAAGGAATGACATCAAACTAAACTGAATCCCCTATAACATGTCGGGCTAGCTTCATGAAGGAATGACATCAAACTAAACTGTATTTCCTATAACATGTCGGGCTAGCATTAATTATTCATAATAAAAACAAATTCTATACATGAGTCAACAGAATCTGCCCACCTTAACGTCTCCTGCTGGAATCAAGGGAGTGACTTTGACAACAAATCCAATCTTGTTGCCTTTACGGAAGACAATCAGCCTGTAGATGGGAAGATGAATTTTCATGATTGCATTATTCTTCTTACCAAATGTATGATACCAAAACCAGGCTTGGGCAGCAACAGAAAAAGAGAAAAGAAAAAGTACAACAAAAATGAGCTTTTTGAGATGAGCAAATGACAGATCAGGAATAGAGATCATAAAACATCAGACATTATTAAAACTGAAAGAGAGAGAGAAAGAGAGAGAGCAAGAGAGTGAGTGAGAGGGACAGGCAGAGAGAGAGAGAGTGTGAGTGTGTGTGTCAGCATGTGTAAGTGTCTGTGTGAGAAAAATGAGCTCCTTGAGAAGAGCATATGACAGATCAAGTACAGAGATCAGACATTATTTCATCTGACAGAGAGAGAGAGAGAGACAGTGAATGAGTGTGTGAGTGTGTGTGAGCGAGTGTTTATCTGAGTGTATGTGAGTGCGTGTGTCTGTGAGTGTATACGAATGTGTGTGTGTGTGTGAGTGTGTGTCTGTGCGCACTTGTGTGTGTGTAAAAAAAAAGGGGAGGGGTAGTACAAGCAGCTAGATTAGGTTTAAGTTTAGACAACAGATCAACATCATGGCACAAGGGTAGTAACCCATAAGTGCTTCGAAGCCTGAGTCCGAATAAATCAGTGCAGAACATGAACCCCGTGGCACCGGCGAGGATCCTGAAATACTTTGGGTAAATTTTCACTCCAAATTTTGCTTAGGCAGCATCGTTAGGCTACTATTTTCTATTTCCAATGCCAAGGTATTTTTTTACATGCGCAACAATACACACGAGTATCCGATCTTACTACCCAGAGACCAGGGGAAATTAATAGAGTGATTACCCAAGGGAAAGGTATGACGGATATACAATCAGACAGTTACTAGTGCCATCGGAATTGAACTCTTCGTCTGCTGCTAAAGATGGGGACGAAATGCTTATAAGAGTGTCCCAAGTGCTATGATGTCAATTCTTAATTCAACATTCAACTTGAATGAGCAACAAACAGCTAGATGTCATCAGGAAATAAGTAAGGCTGCAAAGTCTTTTATCTCGGCTGTCAATAGACAATATATCACAACATGCAATGATGTTAGAGACCAAGCAGAAACCGAAAGAGAAGCCGATGACGCAGGAGAAGGACAGAGGAAATAACAGAATCTTTACAAAATGTGCAGGTGGACCTTCTCCCATAAATGTATATACTTCACCTCAACACTGCAAGGTTTCAGAGGATCATGATGAGATGACGAGACTATGGTCATAGGTTTGTCTGTCTGTGCACGATAAGGTCAAAGTTCAGACTCTTAACCTCTAGTAGCACCTAATCTCTGTCAGGCACATGTAGACTGAATATCTCTGTGTGGGTTCCGGGGCCCTATTATAGGGAAAACAAGAATAGACCCACAGTCGACTAATTGGGAGCTTCCTTTGAAGTCGGAGTGCATCTGCCTGAGAGGCAAGGAACCAGCAGTCTGCATACAAATGTCAGATCTGTAAAACAGATGCACATGCAACACTCAGGTTCTGGAACAGTACTGCAGTCCAGAAGTGGATGAACAACCAGAACTTTCTGCCAGAGTTTACAGCTGGGGAACGCAAAGCCAATGCACACCAAGCAGTCAGATTAACTTTTGTTGTCCTCACAATAGAACCTGATGCCATGACAGCTCAGTATTTGGTCTGTTTGCTGATCATGGAAGCATCCCATTTGGCAGGATTCTATTTTCAAACCATTATCTTCTTCTTCTTCTTAGACTCCCTTCTGTGTGATGTTGGTAGTCATGTCTATCCACAACCTTCTGTCTCGTGTATTTTCAATTAACCCTGACACAGATGATCTTCCATGCCATGATGTCAAACTGTCCAGCATCTGTTCTCTCGCTCTCACCCTGCCTCTCCTCCCCTCCAACTTTCCTACTGTCATGATGTACTCCAGTTTTCTCCATCTCATCACATGATCAAAGAATGCAGATTGTCTCTTTCTGATGTGGGCAATCAGTTTTCTTCGTCAACCAGTTTCTTTCAAGACATCTTCATTACTCTTTTTATCTGTCCAGGGTATTCTCATCATTTGTCTATAAAACCACATCTCCGCAGATTCCAAAAAAGTTTTCACAAATTTATTAACTGTCCATGATTCACACATGTGTATCAAGATAGGATTTATAAAGCTATTAAGAATTATCTTTCTCGTCTCAACTGACAAAGACAGATTGCATAAAAACATTATAAACCATTTTAGCTCTTGTAAAATGAGTACAATTATCATCTGCAGAATTTTACTGAAGGAATGATGGTTAAAACAGAAACTGGTGAAAAAAAATCCTGATTACAGCTTGGTCTAGAATATGTGTGACGGTCCAACACTTACAGAGTACAGCAGTAGTTTATCACCATATTGAGAAAATTTGTGAAAGAAAGAAAGAAAGAAAGAAAGAAAGAAAGAAAGAAAGAAAGAAAGAAAGAAAGAAAGAAAAGAAAGAAAGAAAAGAAAGAAAGAAAAAGAAAGAAAGAAAGAAAGAAAGAAAGAAAGAAGAAGAAAGAAAGAAAGAAAGAAAAAAAGAAAGAAAGACAGAAAGAAAGACAGAAAAGAAGAAAGAAAAAAGAAAGAAAGAAAGAGAGAAAGAAAAAGAAAGAAGAAAGAAAGAAAGAAAGAAAGAAAGAAAGAAAGAAAGAAAGAAAGAAAGAAAGAAAGAAAGAAAGAAAGAAAGAAAGAAAGAAAGAAAGAAAGAAAGAAAGACAGACAGACAGACAGAAAGACAGACAGACAGGCAGAAAAAGATCAATCTCAATCTTCCTCTTTATCAGATATCTTCTTTAATTTAATGGTTGCCTGCTTTAGAAGTTGGTAAACATGCAACATTTAGTGTTAGCTCTTTGTTTATGTAAAAGAAATAATTCTCCCATTTATGAGCTGCCATACAGAGCATGAAGGGTTTAACTCAATCAGCAAACAGAACAAGCAAAGATTGAAGATATGAATAACAGAGATAAAATATATCAATAACAAACCAAATAAATAACTAGTTTAAAAAAAAAAAAACAAGAAACATGTTACTGCAGTCTCTGGATACAAATCTCAACAAACACATCCAATCAAAGATGAGATAACATACTTTGGGTCATCCTTGAACTCATGAGCCTGACTGGTCTCATCATACATATGCATGGAAGGTTCGTCCCTGCAGGCAAGGATGAGTTCCTTCTTCGGCAAATCAACCTGATACGTTTTACAGACCAGTTGTTATTTTACTCATTTAATTACAAAAATAATAAAATAACTGTCTTTACAGTCTGGCAATTAAATAATTGAACTGATTTTCAAGATAAAAATCCCATCCATGAATCAAAGCATCTCATCCAAACAGGCACCACTGATCTATGATTTTGCCAAACTGTAATGCCCCTGGTCAGAAGACAACAAGTAGCCCACCATTTTCTTCAGCCTGTGAAAGTTATGTTAATCTTCATTACAAACAGAAACTAGAACCACCACCCCCTTTCCCCCCCCCCCCCCCCACCTTTAATCTGCAAACGAGATCAACACTGAACCCTATAAACTTATCTCATCAGTTCAGCTGTCTCAATTATATTTTTCAAATTAAAAACATAATTTAATGTTTGCTCTTTGCTCTATCGTAACCAGGCAAACTCTCATTAGGTATACAAAATGGTGAGTTACTTGTCATCTGCTGACCAGGTGGCGATACAATTTGGGCCAAATCATGGAGGAGTGGTGCCTGTTTGGATGAGATGCTCTGCTTCAAGGATGCTGATATTGTTTTAGCGTTAACAAAATCAATCTCATTATTTAATTGCCAGACTGGGTATTTGCCAGATGTTAGGGTGGTGTGTTGGGCAGGTAGGTCTTGAACCTGAGGAGTCAGGGCCACATGGCTAGTGTAGTCCCCTGGACTGTGCAGGTTAGGATTTTATTTGTGCCAGCAACTAAAAAAAAAAATGCACTTTACAGAGGATTTGAACCTGTGTCTCCCAAATGAAAGTCCAGCATTTTTAACCATTTGGCCAGCTGCTCCTTGTTCAGTCAATAACTGTTATTATTTTCCCCATTATTACTTAGATTTAATATTTAATGACACTTTCACAGTAGCTGAGTATGATGATACTCAAATACGCTGAGATAAACTGCCTAGTCAAGCATAAACAAACATCACATGACTTCAGCTGAATAAGCTGCAAACAGTGATATGTTTCTTTGCATCTTCATACTGAAATAAGAAGTTAGATAATATTTTGTGGGTTCTGACCTAAATCAAAATAAGTTCACTTGTTTCCCTGATTGCTGATAGGGTTCACTTATACTATTCTTTTCTTCCCATGAGGGCCCCACTAACGCAAGGGCACCACTTTGTATTAATTCTTTCTCTTTCAGGATGGCATTTCTTTCTCTGGAGCTTGGACAGAAATAATTGTAATCTGATTTTTTTTTTTTACTGTATCATGACAAAGTTAAAACCTTTCTGAAGAAAAAGTACTGGATGTATAGTGACATATAATATATATCAAACTAAAGATAAATTTAAAAAAGAATACATCTAAACTTTTTTGGCCCAAGTGAAAAAAAAAAAAAAGTGAAAAAAATCGCACAGCACCCCGTCCCCCTTTCCCTGGAAATACAATTATCATCATGCGCCACACCGAAAAGCATATGCGGGCATCACAGGCTATCCTTCTCAAGCCTATTCCTTGCCTTAAAATGTACCTTCTTTAATCAAACAAACAGAATGATACAATGGCAGTTCTGTTCTGTATTGTATTTTTTTCCGACAATTATTTTCCCGGTTCCCTATTTTTACCACTACCTTCTGAAGCAGACAGGAGGCTGTTGTAGTGTTTTCTGGGGGCGTCTGAACAGCAAAGACACCAACGAGCATTTATTCTAGGTAAGCTGTTGGAAACTTGCTATAGTGCATGCCAAATGTGCCCCACACTTTCAACAAACAAATCTCAAAAACTCCTGTAGTAACGGTCACCGCTGCCGAGCGGCTAGACACTCGCCGCGGATCGGAAGGTCGTGGGTTCGCTCCCTGGCGGAGCCGGAATTTTTTCAAAAATGACGTTGGCTTCCAGGTCGACCCAGCCGTGAGTGGGTACCGGGTGCAGTCCCGGGAAGTAAAGGCGACCGGCGTGATACTGACCACATTACCCATCTTGTGCCGATTGGCCTATAAAAATATAGGCCTATACGCCTTAAAGCATGGAATAGGGCCCTTTACCTATTTATTTATTTTTTTACCTGTAGTGATGAATACAAATTTTTGCAAGTGGTCGTAGATTACTGATGTCCTTATGATTTTAAAATTTACAACTGCACAAGTGCCGCTGGGTTTTTAAGAATAGCCATCCTTTAATGACAAGGATGAATCTGATTGCTCAGAACTTTTTGGGGGGGGGTAAGGGGGGGGGGGGGGGGGGGGGGGGGGGGGGGGGGGGGGGGGGGGGGGGGGGGGGGGGGGGGGGGGGGGGGGGGGGGGATTAAGCAACCACTGTGATTTGAATCTGCTACACTACACTCAGAAAAGTACGAACAGTTTGTTAAAACTCTCATTTTCTTCCTCTACCACTGTCTTTTTTTATGCGATGATTCCTAGCTGTACCTGAGGCTGCTACTAACCGCCGCTTAACCCAAAACCGACCGTCCCAGCACCCACTTTGGGAAACACTGATCTTAATTAAGGATCAGTATTAAAATAGCAAAATATTTAAATGACACTAACATTCAAGGAGCGGCGTCCGTGGCTAAGGCGTTGCGAGTCCGACTCGTAAGCCAGCATGCCGCGATCGAAACCCACTGCAGGCTGCATGGATTTTTGTCGTGGTATGGGACATCGCAGGTCGACCCAGCCTAAAATGGGTACCAGGATGGGCTGTCCTGGGAAAGTAAAGACAGCCGGCGTAATGCTGACCACATTACCCACAGTGCTGATGGTCTGTAAAAATATGGGACGCTCTGCCCATATGCCCGATGCGCCGTAAGGCGTGAAAAGGGATCTTTACTTTTTTTTTTTAACATTCAAGAATGTTAGAAGTCAATGAAGATTTTTTCTACACATAAAATAACGTACTTATCTTTCTTCTTCTTTTTTTTTTTTTTACTTGGTCAGCAAAACAACCATCCATTGCTAAAAATTCACATGCCTTCTCTATTCAGTTATGCATCAGCTAGCCTTTATATGAGACAATCAGTCTAAATATTTTGGATTCTATTACAATTTTTTTTTTGAGTGACATGTCAAATTTATGAATAACTAGACAGCTGATCCAAACAGGGATGATCAGATAAAACATTTTTTTTATCAACTTTATCCCCACCCATATTGTCAGAATCTAAGTCATCACTAGAACTGCCTTTTTCTTCATCTAACAACGGCTGCATAAGATCTAAAGCCTGAGTTTTAGTCTTTCTTTGAGCTCTCTCTACAGTAGATGGTAAAGAGGTGGAAAATACACTTTTAGGAAAATCACACACACACAAATTGAAAAAGAAAATACTTTCAATACTTTTAGTTTTTCAAAATAGGTTCATACAAATTCTCTTTCCTAGCAAACGAACCAATATTAGAGTGTCTTTGTCAGCGCAGCAACCACTTAAACAGTGACATGTCTAAATGAGAGTGATTCCACCACCAACTACAAGGTGATATGTCTGGAAAGAGTTTTCAAAAATTAACGTATCCACTGTCATTTGTCACATCTGATAACTTCGGTAACACTACCTTAGCTGTACAATAGTCTGTGTCCGTCTCCTCCTCAATTGGCAAGATGAAGACTGTCGTGTTGAATACAGAGGGGTTGCTCAGAGTCAGAGTCACCACTGTTTCCTGGAGATGAAAAACAGGGAACATCTGTTAGCTGTATAGCCAAGTGTGGGCCATAGACAGGGAACATCTGTTAGCTTTATAGCCAAGTGTGGGCCATAGACAGGGAACATTTTTTAGCTTTGTAGCCAAGTGTGGGTCATAGACAAGGAACATTTTTTAGCTTTGTAGCCAAGTGTGGGTCATAGACAAGGAACATTTTTTAGCTTTATAGCCAGGTGTAGGTCATAGACAGGGAACATCTGTTAGCTTTATAGCCAAGTGTGGGCCATAGACAGGAAACATTTATTAGCTTTGTAGCCAAGTGTGGATCACAGACAGGGAACATTTATTAGCTTTGAAGCCAAGTGTGGGTCACAGACAGGGAACATTTTTTAGCTTTGTAGCCAAATGTGGGTCATAGACGGGGAACATTTTTTAGCTTTATAGCCAGGTGTAGGTCATAGACAGGGAACATCTGTTAGCTTTGTAGCCAACTGTGGGCCATGGACAGGAACATTTATTAGCTTTGTAGCAAAGTGAGCTATGGACGGGGAACATTTGTTAGCTTTGTAGCCAAGTATGGGCCATGGACAGGGAACATATGTTAGCTATGTAGCTAAGTGTGGGCCACGGAGGGGGAACATCGGTTAGTTTTGTGGCTAAGTGTTGGCCATAGACGGGGTTTTTTTGTAGCCAAGTGAGCCATGGACGGGGAACATTTGTTAGCTTTGTAGCCAAGTGTGGGCCATGGACAGGAAACATCTGTTAGCTATGTAGCTAAGTGTGGGCCATGGACGGGGAACATCTGTTAGCTTTGTAGCTAAGTGTGGGCCATGGACGGGGAACATCTGTTAGCTTTGTAGCTAAGTGTGGGCCATGGACAGGAAACATCTGTTAGCTTTGTAGCTAAGTGTGGGCCATGGACAGGAAACATCTGTTAGCTTTGTAGCTAAGTGTGGACCATGGACGGGGAACATCTGTTAGCTTTGTAGCTAAGTGTGGGCCATGGACAGGAAACATCTGTTAGCTTTGTAGCTAAGTGTGGGCCATGGACGGGGAACTTCTGTTAGCTTTGTAGCTAAGTGTGGGCCATGGACAGGAAACATCTGTTAGCTTTGTAGCTAAGTGTGGGCCATGGACGGGGAACATCTGTTAGCTTTGTAGCTAAGTGTGGGCCATGGACGGGGAACATCTGTTAGCTTTGTAGCTAAGTGTGGGCCATGGACAGGGAACATCTGTTAGCTTTGTGGCTAAGTGTGGGCCATGGACGGGGAACATTTGTTGGGGGCCATAGACAGGGAACATTTGTTAGTTTTATAGCCAAGTGTGAGCCATAGACAGGGAACATTTGTTAGCTTTGTAGCTAAGTGTGGGCCATGGACGGGGAACATCTCTTAGCTTTGAAGCTAAGTCTGGGCCATGGACGGGGAACATCTGTTAGCTTTGTAACTAAGTGTGGGTCATAGACAGAGAACATTCATTAGCTTTGTAGCTAAGTGTGGACAGACAGAGAACATTTGTTAGCTTTGTAGCTAAGTGTGGGTGATAGACAGGGAACATTTGTTAGCTTTGTAGCTAAGCAGGTGACGGGTATTGGACTGCTGCTTCTACAGTCCTGGGTCAAAATGTCTCAAGGTGACCTTTTCTGTGTGTGACTGACTATATGTCTGTGGGTCCAGTCTGATACCTTTAGCCTTACAAAATGGAGGAACTGTAGCAGCTGTATGACATTCTCTACATTACACGTTTCTGAAAAACTGCTGGCATTAGTTTCTTAGCCTGTCTGCTGATAAGTCCAGCCTCATTTGCCTGATGTACCACTGGCCAGATAAGGGACCTTCATTTTATTTACTTGACTGTCTGCTTATTCTGCGTTTTACATGAGAACAAAAAAAAACAGTACAGGTTCTACTGGTACTCTAGTATTCTTTTTCTCACATCAACTGACATCTTTTTATTAGTAGGATTTGCATCTCGCATAATGCCTATGTTTACTATGGTGTTTCTTGTTCTAATATCTACAAGGCATGTTTATCATAGTTGAACATCACATAAACAAGGGTGTTTTGGCTTCGCTACAATATCACACAAACACTTCCATTTATGTATATCTTCCATTTTTCGTCTTCACATCCTCTTTTACTGCTCGGGTGTCGAGGGAGATACAAGATCCTGCTTCGTGCTCTTTTGGCTGCTTCAACCATAGACACATTGTGGTGCTGTAGAGTTTCTTTAATGTTATCTTCCATCTTGTTCTTGGTCTACCTCTTGCTCTACGTCCCTTTCCTCTTTTGGTATATGTTCTGTATGGTATAGCATCAGAAGCCAATTTTTTTACATAGGCAAACCATTTGGTTTGCTTTCTTTGTGTGAAATTAAGAATTGGTTCTGTGCCGACTTTATTTTGTGTGACCTCATTCCTGATTTGATCTCTTCTGGTCACTCCTACAGTTTTTCTCAAACACCTCATTTCCATGGTTACTAATTTTATGTTTTGTTGTGAGTGACCACGTCTGGCGCTGGTAGCATCTTTACTTACATAAACTGCATATCCTCACTGACCAATCCAATGCAGGTGTTATCTAAGACACTTTTACCTACTTATTGAATTTGTTCACTCACTTATCTAATGACTTATCTTCCACTGACCTTGTTTTCCACGAATGTAGAAGGAGATAGCACTTTGACTTCTGGTACATGGTGCCTTGAGAACAGAAATAACGCAATTATTTTATTTTCATCACACACTTCATTTCATAAAGATCACAGAGAGGACTACTTCAGTTTTATATTATAGAAAATGGTTGACTATATTTTATTTCCCATTTCATACATTTTGTTCCCAAATGAATACAAGACAAACAGGCACAAAAATTGGAAACAAGCAGACTGAGGAAACAAGGATGTCCAAGAGAAACCTCATGACGAATACTGGTAAAAGAGGCTAAAGATTCTATACATAATACTGACAAGTCTGCACAGTACATAATGAAATGTGGTGGGGAGGGGGGGTTAATTGCAATGAGGCGTATGAATGGCACAACAGGATGATGATGATGATGAGACTAGAGGAAGACCAAGAATCGTGTGGGCAAATCCTACCAAGAGTGTACTAGACATCCTCATGATCCTATTGTGGATTTGACATCACATAGGCTTCACAGCTGATTCCTCCATTGTTTTATCTTGTGCTATTGTTGCGATATCATGTAGTGAGGACTAAACAAACAACAAAATACCTTTTCAACCGACACTGGCTCAATTGTAAAGGCCAACTTTAAATGTGGACCCAGACATTTTGAACATGGGATTAGATTTTACAATACTGACTAAATAATACAAACAATACTTTTAATGTGTGCTCTCTCTATATATACATATATATTTCTCTATCTCTCTCTCTTACCCACTCTCGCATGCACATATAAACACACACATGCAAAGAGATAGAGAGAGAGAGACAGAGAGAGAGAGAGAGAGAAAGAGATGACAGATGTATGAGACAGGTCTTGTCTTGTCTTGTCTTGTCCACAATTGCCTCACAGCGTAGTGGGGAGTCGCAATTTTCTATCCTGGACCAGGTGTGTTGCACATGTTGTTGTTAGTCCGTCTTGCCTCAGGATCTCTGATATATTGTCTATCCATCGTACTCTCGGTCTGCCTCTTGCTCTAGGGCAGTAGTGCTGTTCGTTGTATGCTCGTAGAGGCAGTTGGTTGGTTTGCATTCGCATCAAGTGGCCAAACCACTCTATTTGTTGCTTCTTTATGTATTGCAGGCATGGTGTGGTTCCTACAATTGATCTAATGTTCTCGTTTCGAACTCTGTCTCTCTTTGTGACATTGGCAGTCTTACGTAAGCATCTCATTTCGCACGTCGTGATCTTTTTCTCCTGTGCTCTTGTTAGGGACCAGGTTTGGCATTGGTAGCAGAGGGTTGGTATAAACATGCAATTTATCAGTTGTTTTAGTGCCATAGTGATGCTTGGGTGTTTTAGCAGTGGGGAGAGTTGGTAAGTTACTGTGTTCGCCTTTTGACATCTTGCCTCAAGTTCCCTATCAATTCTTCCATCATCTGTGAAAATGCTTACCAAGTATTTAAATTGCTGCACTTGTTTGAGTTGTTCGTTGTTAACTTGAATAGTTAGTATATTAGGTGTTCTACTTATTTTCAGAATTTCTGTTTTGGTGATGCTGATCTTCATGTTATATTCGTTGCAGAAATAACAGTGTAGCGCATTTACGTGGATTTGAAGTTCTTTTTCGTTTTCATGTATTATGCTTTGGTCGTCTGCGAAAAGTATTTCGTTCAGTTGGGTATGTACTTCTTCAGGATCGGCGTGTATATGAGACAGGTACAAACTTGAAAGCTGTTTGAGGGCTGATCTGAGAGACGAGTACAAGTACCCTAGATGAAAAAACAGGTCTGAGATGGCAAGTCCCAGAAAGTAAATTGCATGTTTTATGTAAGAGGTGATAGCATGTGAGACAACTTACAGTGCTGTGAGTTGAATCTTAAACTTGATGGAGCTTGGATTGAAATCAGCCTTGCTCAAATTATGTTCACACTCCTGGATGAGACAGACAGTATCCAATAATATATAATACTGTCAGAATTCCCGCACTTTTTAAAATGTAGACGATCAAGATTAGTTGCACATAACTAGTGTACAATGATAATGACATTTCAAACACACCATTGCACCAGGTAAAACAATGAAGATTAATCACTAAAGAAAAACAATATTGAAGCCGGTGAAGCATAGTAGCTCTCTTTTATCACACACACACACAATTTTCAATTTCAGCCCTCGCTTTCACATCTTTTTCTGGTTAATATTCATTTCCAGTGTTTATACTGCCTAGCAATCTGCAGGTCAGAGATTCAGATTCATATCAACACAGGGTTTTTCTCACTAGCCAGAGCTCTCAGCCAGGTTAACCCACTTTGAGTGCCAGGAATTACCAGAGAAAGTAAATGCAACATCAAATGCTAATTGGTCCAGAAAAATAATGATGCTGTCAATGAATACCAATCTAGCTTAACTCCTTGAGTCCCAAGAAACGCATCATACGTTCATAGATTCCTATCTAGAAGCCCAATGAACGCAAGATGCGCCGATTTTACGTCTTTCTTGACTACCCCTTGGGCCTGTGATGCTAAACCCCCTGGGACTCAAAGAGTTAAAGGCATGAAAACTGGACATTTTTTTTTTTTAACAAAAGAAAAGAAAGATACATATTTGTACTCCCCCCCCCCCCCCCCTTTTTCTCCCCCCTAAAAATACATTAAAACGGGGAAGGGGGAAGTAAAAATAAATGGACACACACACACATAAAAAAAAACATTTTAAAATCCTAGTATTATTTCGAACATAAATCAAATCAGCATCAATAAGTAATGAAAAGAAGAAATATATAACAGATGCAACATTTATTTTTGTAACATGAGTCTCAGATAAAATCAACTACCATCCGCGAACAAGGGCCAGAGGCAAGAGATCGCCAGCATGTAGCTCTTTTAGCGACCTGAGTGCAGCCCGGCCAGTCAACCCAAATATGTTTTGACTCCAAAAAATATGGTTCTTGACAGGATCTCAAAAAATTTTTTTACATTGTCCAGCAGCTGATTTTTGGCTCTTTCGACTAAAGAGTTTGCCGACCAGTGGTCTAGTCTAACTTTCTTCTCCATCTATGTTATCTTCAACTCAAACTGTTGTCTTTCTCTGAAGCATCCTTCTTTCCTTCAAGTATGGCTGTTATGTCATGTTATGTACAAGATTATTAATTTAACTAACCCCAGCTTCATTCAGTCAATCTTATATTCATTTCTGACTGCGAATGTTAAAAGATTACACTATAAGAGAACTTCTACAGTTTTACAAACCCTGGGAATCATTGCTGCAGATATCATATACCTTCTTTCATCTTCCTGACAGACCTCCTCTTTCCATCTGGTGACACCAAAAGTCTGTAGGTCTGTATGTATATTATCTCTTCACCATCTTCTTTGTCAGCCTTATGGTCTAGGCCCATTCAACTCTTCTGTGTATGCAGTTTTTGTCTCTCTGTTATCTGCATGTCCCAACCATTGCAGTCTATTAGCGCCTGTGATGCCATTAATTAGTGGGGATTTTAACAGATTAGGAACTTCTTGTTTCTTCTCCATTCTCTGCTATTTTCATCTTTGAGAGGTTCCAAGATTCACCATAAGACTGTGCTCAAAAGTTTGTAATAAGCTTCACCTCTTTTAGTTGTACCGTAGACTTCAGTCATGTAGGACAACTGGTCTCCTCTTGTGTTATGATAGAGCACTTGATTTTAAGAGATGTGAAGGGCAAGTACTCTTTATATCCATAGTGTATTTCTTTTCTTAGTATGCTTTAGCTGCTGCATGCTATAACAAAGTACATGTGTGTTTCCATTCTTCTGACTTGTTATTGCCTATTTTTATGTGTCCATCGTTATTCTTTCCCTCTTTTGTTATCTGCATGTATTCTGTTTTATCTTGACTGATTATTTTTATATTTTCAGCTGCTTGCTTTAAGTGAGTCAGTGTTTTCACCCTCCTCCTCCTTCTACTATATCTATATAATGTGCATAACTGCATACTCTTGATGCTTCTCCTAGAACCCAATCTTCTTTTACCTTTCTAATGATTTTTGTTAAGAGTCAAGCTGAAAAGAAGTGGGGATTGGGCATCATCTTACTTCCAGCCAGACATTATCTGAAGAGTCTGATATTCTCTTCTTAATTGTTACTATATTATAATTGACTTCCATGCAAAGTCCGATCATACTGGTTAACTTCTTTGGTATTCCCACACAGTATCCCACAATCTATTCCTATGTACAGTATCAAACATCAATTTAAAATTCACAAAAACTTTACATACACTTCTTCTATAATGCCCAATTTTTCTCTGCTGTTACAGAAGACAATTTACAATAAAATACCTTGCATCGGAGTGACCTCCTCATTAGCAAGTGTTTGTGGACAGGGCGCAGCTGTGTATTGGTCTCTGGCTGAAACTCTGGCACAAACAACCGATGGGCCAGTTTGGTTGCTAAAATGAAAAGAAGACCTGATGCAGTAAGGATGAAACCACATCTGTAGGTATCAATGTCAAGGACAACAATAGTGGGCTAATTTGCATTGTTACACATACAAGAATTGGTCCAGCTATATTATGTTTGTTCATTCATAGACAGGACATTTTTCTAAAAGCCGAAGATATTCACACGAATAAAAAGCAGGATAAAAACCAAAAAGAATAAATCATCATCACCACCTCGTGCCATGTAAACAAGCATAAGGCGGCAGTTTCGCCACATCACAGGATCGCAATAATCATGGATTAGGTCAATGTTCTTGTCTCACCCCCATCAATAAAGCCACACCTTCCAGATATTTATCTCTGTGCCTTTCCCTTGCCCTTTTTCTATCAATCTTGCTAGTTATTGCCAAGTTTTCAAGACCATTCCTTCTCATAACATGTCCCAAAAAACACTGGCTGTTTAATTTCTCAAATCAATTAAGCTTTCATTAATCTCAAGGAGGACTGATTTTTTTTTCCCCTTTTATTATTCCACAGCATCACAGCATTCTTTGTATTTCTCCCATAAATCACATCTCCTCTGCAAATACATATCCATAAAACATTAAGAAACATTACAAGAGTACCAGAAGATTGAAGACAAAAGTGAAAGGGACAGACCAAGAAAAACAGAAGCTTATCTGGCTTCACAGATCTTTACAATTTGTCTAAATAAACGAGGACCACTAAAAGTAAACATGAAGCCTTTCCAATTGTGTTGAGTATTTCACACTGAGTGAAACAAAAGTTGAAGACAGAGAGGATACGAGTCTGAGATTGTTTATAATTCAATATCCTTGTCGCAAGCAAATATTGTGCAGGTCACATGTACATGAACCCTGCTGAAGTCATGCAGTAGATAAAGGGGAAAACATTTCATGAAGTGTGTGACACAAAGCCATTAGCCACAAATGACCATTTCAATTTCTGACTTCACTGTCTGTACAGATCTTCAAACATGGTGGCTAGCCTAAAGGTGGAATGGAGACTGGAACTGTCTCATGGAGACTGCCTAGCTACATGTGCCAGAGAGTAAGAAGACAATAGTACAGACAGACTATCAGCGGTGCTGTTGTTTCAGTCCGGTGTGGAAGAACGACTAGAAAATGTGCTAAATGATGAGTAAGCATCACCACAATAACATCACACAATGACTGCAGACACTCGACACCCCAAGGCAGATGCGCTCCGACTCTGGAGGAAATTCCCCTAATTAGTCACCTTGCACAACATGCTTGTTGGGAGAGCAGTTGGTCTATTCCCCCTCAACCCCCCCCTCCCCCCCCCCCCCCCCCCCCCCCCCCCCCCATCATAATGAAGCCCCAGAACCCACACAGGGAACTGATGAATATTTACATAGTCACATGCTATTTGATTTGCCAACACAGAAATCTGAGGCTCCTACTTCCCTAGCCAGTCTCCCAAATGTCACCATTGTCAACCTGAAGGTATGTCACCTCAAGCAAATCTAAAGCCTCAATTATGCTGTACAATGCTGTTTTTATACCACAATTAACCTTTCCTACAGCTGACTGGCACTGCCCAGTTAACACATACAGAAACACAGGAGATTTATCAAGCTCACTTTTGTCCAAAAACGCAGGCTGAGTGAGAAATTCTTCTGGCAATGGATCAAAACTCTCAAATGTGGGACTAGGTTCTAGCTCATCCAGCACATTTTGTCCTTCCCTCAAACTGAGGAGAGAAAGAAAAATGATTGTGTATTTTTTAGGACCACCTCTCCCCCCCCCCCCCCAAACCTCTAAACCTCAGTTAGTACATCAGAAGCTTCTAAAAGATTTGGTCATATCTTCAGGAATTAAGAAATACTAACAACAGTATTAGAAGGATGAATATGGGACAAAAGTGAACAGGACAGACCAGGAAAACAACAACTTATTTAGCCTAGCATTCCAACTGTGAGGCAATTTGTTTGCATGAACAACATGGACAGAGATCAGGCATCCAGTCTGCAACCCCAGCAACAGGAGTCCGTACAGCATCCTTAAGTTGCTTATTTTATAATCAACCAATGCGCGATGCATCAAGCACAATAACTCCAGATCTTGAGAGAAGGTGGTTGAAGGCTGAATTTAGAATCCTCATCGTAGAAATCGTGACACTCCCAAAATAGCTTTGTCCCCATCTTCAGCAGCATGCAATGAGCTCCAATACCAATGGCACCAATAACTGTCTGACCGTATGCCAGTCTCACCTTTCCCTTAAGTGTTTAGCGTTGGCAACTCCTCGCAGCGCAATTCTCCTCAGACCTTAATGATCTATTTGTACCTCCGCACTGTTCACTCTATTCCAAAGGACCCTCACAATATCTAGCTTGACATACATCAATTCACCACAAAGTGGTGATGTAGAACCAGCCAGTGTATCTGCTTTCTCGTTTCCCAACACACCAGTTACACCTGGAAGGGAAAAAAAAACCAAAGGACGCTAAACAACCTGGGATCTCTAAAGCGATACTTGCCACTCTCAACCTTTCTCAACATGCTCTGTGAGCCAGTTACAATTTAGCATGTGTGTACAGCTGATTCTCCAGCCAGCGATTGCAGCAGTGACTGCCTCCAACATTCTCAAACTAGACACTGTGATGTCACATGCCAGGCTTTGCTGCACTAAGCAACATCCATCCGCTTTTGCTATGAACTCCCGTGCACTTCATCTGCCTCTTAAAACTGAGCCATCTGTACAGATAATCACATCACCTGATCAGGAATTGTCATGAATCATTTACTGAACTTCTGATTCTGCAGCACCAGCTGGCCAGTCCCTGCACTCACGACCTAAAGTGATAAGAACCTTACACAAATCTGATTCTTGCTCTGACACTTTGACCCACTCTTCTCCTTGCCGAAATTAATCAAGCCTGCACATGTCTAATTGGGTCTTCAGCTTGCGCCATCTAAGAACTTCCTCTTTTCAGTCTGTGACCCCTAGCTCTACCCATGGCTTCATGCAGGAGGTGCTCCTTCTCTGCAGCTACTATGAGAAATGATTTTGCTTGCAGAACTTTAAGCTTATCTGAAATTTAAGCTTATCTGCAATAGTAGGCAGAGCAAGTATATATCACATACATACTGTCGGGGTATCTCTTGTTAGTTAGAATTAGATTCTGAGAGAGTATAACATCATGTTATTCCATTTTTTAAATATATGTTTTAATTCAGAGTTTACTGGGAACCTGTCGACTCATACAGCATTCTGTTGAAGTAGAAAGGGCAGAAGCAGCAGCAATGATGAGGCATTAAGGGATATCTAACACTTTAGATTATTATGTGAATGAAGCAATATATAAGTATATGAAATGGAATTTAATGGACTGACAGAGCAGCCTGGTAATTCATACTCTGCCAACAAATACTGCCTTCCCATCATTCTACACACAAAATCAGATGCAAGATAAACTAAACATATAGGAATCTAAAATTCAGAGGGATAAAATTAAGAAAATCAAGTAAAATGGTGGCCTGATTTGTTTACCAGCTTTGCAGATAAAAATGAAGGAGCAAATAAGAAATATTTAAAAGACAAAATAATATAAATGGTGAGAAGAGTCTCACGGCATAAGGAAACCTAGAAAATTTAATCTAGTATCAAAATATTATGTAACTTCAAATCAGTACTGCTTAGTAAATAAAAAATGTGAACAACAAAAAAAAAACTACAAATATTTAAAAACTGATTCTTGTGTAGAAAGTTAAAATGGCATAACAAAATTATTAGAAGACCAAAGAAAAATAAAGAAAATGAAAATGATAATGAAGAAAATAAAGAAGAGGAGAAAGAAGAAGCAACTGCATCTACAACAGCAGCTATGTTGATACCACCAGTGGCTGTAGTAGCTTTTTGAAACAGTCGTTTTGTTAACAAATTCCACAGCTAAGAGGGAGCACTGAAAGCACTTTTTCCTACTTTTCATTCACTTCTATCTTTCCTTCAATTTAACCTTCTCTTTTTATTTTATTCTTTTAAGCACACAAAAATTAACAACATCAATTAAATGCTATCAATGTCTAATTCACGAGGAAGACCAAGAAGACAGTGGAGAGATAATATCCAGGTAGACCTACAAACACCGGTGTCACCAACTGGAAAGAGAAGGCCAACCAGAGAGATGAGTGGAGGCGGGTGATATCTGCAGCAATAAACTTCAAGGGCTTGGAATGTTGAAGAAGAAAAATGTCTAATTTAACCGACTGAAGTTTCACTGTGCTCAACATCATACCCTTCTCAGCACATGTCCTATCCGGGCACAAAAATCTGTGTATGGTTTTTAATGCGTGCACAGATTTTTTTATCAATTTTGCATTTGGTTCTTAATTGGAGTACAGATTTTAATTTTAGCAGGCTGACAAATGAAAATGACTCAAACTTACCTTAAACTAGCGAAGCTTGCCAGTCCTGTTCTCTTTGGAGTCATTGGTGAGAGTCCATATTTCTCCTACAAACAAAAAACACAGGAGTGAAACAGAAATACAGATTCTACACAGTCTGGCCATTCAATAAGGAGACTGATCTTATTATGGCTAAGACCAAAGTGCTGTCCAGGAAGCAAAGCATCTCAAACATTCATCTCTGATTTGGCCAAATTGCAATTTTGCTGGTCAGCATAAGAAAAATACCCCCCCCCCCCCCCCCCTTTTTCCGGCCTCTCTCTCCCCATTTTGTTCAACCAGTGAGAGTTGTTTTGTTCTCGTAGGGAGTCGGCAGTCCAAAACCCAAGTTCAAGGTATCTCCTTCGTGCCAAAGAAGTGCATGGTTGTTAGGTAACAGTTGTGAACAGTCAAGTTGTTGTAGGGCCGACACTTGCTGGTGGATGTAATGTCCTAAGTACCTTCCCCAGCTAATAGTGAGAGTACTGCTGGGGTGACCATTTATTAACCCTCACATAATGCTTCAGGTCAAAATGGATGCTAGGCACGCCACCTTTTTTTTTAGCTGTGGCACCGAATTTTTGTTTCTTTTTTTTTTTGCTCCTGCCAGACGGTAGCCATTGAATTTTTGCTCAATTTATAGACTGGAAGGATATGGTTTTGTTGCCCAGCTTCTGAGTTGAGTGCATGGCGTGACACTGTGAGCTGCAGATTTCATTTGAACTGTGATACAAATTTTTGTGTGTTTTTCATTGGCACAGGAGCGGAGCAACTATGGGGTGACATATGTGTTATGAAGCTGAAACTAAGATTACCAGATTACCAGTTGCTTTGTTACAAATGAAGAAAAGAACATTCAATTATTATGTTTCAAACTCAGAAAAAGTGGAACTGAGATAAGTGAACTGATGAGATAAATTTAAGAGGATCAATGTTTACATCATGCACACATGTCCGGGTGGTACTCATTATTCACAACTGGTATGGAAAAGACTGAAGATGAAGCTAGGCTGAGACATCCAATTTATGTCCATAATTAGAAACACATTACCGAAGTAAGAGAAAGGACATAAGAAGGCTGATGTCTGTGAAGATGATAACAGAAGGATATAATGTTGAATTTGATAAACACTGATCCTCATTAACATATCTCATCCACTCAACTGTCAAAGAGCACTTCTGAGTTTAAAAGTTTATTTAATGTTCATTCTTTGCCCCATGCTGCATATGGAACCACGCAACTATCACTAGCTGGTAACCTCTCATCTGCTGACCAGGTGCATTAAAAACTTGCCAGATCATAGATAAACGCTGGTCTGGATGGCCTGCTTCGTTGCATGGATGGTGCTTTTTTCTTGAGTATAATATAATAAGTCTCATCATTTAATAGCTGTCTTTTGTATTCTTCTTCTTTATTCACCACTACTGCCTGAATTTACCGACTGCGATGTAAGGGCATGGGGAGGGGGTCTCTGAGCCTGAGGAGTTACGGCCGCATGGCTAGTGCTGTCACCACAGACTTTGCAGGTCAGAATTTTAATTTTGCAACTATGTATTGCACAGAATATTCGTGTGTGTGTGTGCGCGCGCGCTTATGCGTGTGTACATGCGTGTGTGTGTGTGTGTGAAAAAGATGACCGAATGAAGGGTTGTCCCATTTGATGTCATATATAATAAACAAAACATACAATGTACTGATCGGCACTCACAGAAAGAAGTAGAAAGATAGAAGGACACAAAAGACAAAAATTTAAAGCTACATTTACCGAGCCCAGAATTGAACCTGTCATCTGCAAATGATGTGTCAGCATTGCTATAGAAACAAGTGTACTTAGTGCACTGTACAAGTGAAATGTACAAGTGCACTGTACGACTTTATTTTACAAAATAAATGACCAATCAATTCACAGCCGTAAATGCCCTAAACACTAGGAGAGGTATACAAAAGTATTATTTTAAAGTATAATACTTTTCAACATTAGTGTTAACATTTCCTAAACAAATACAACAACAAGTTGGAGCACAACCAGAGCACAGCATGGATTTCTGCCCAGAACATGCAGGCAATGAACATGCTGATAGACTGGCTGCTTTTGCTACCTCTGGGCAATGAGCTACTTTTTAAGACAGACGTGGTGAATGATGTCTGGGCTCAAACAGACAATACCTATACTTGAACCTGATGATTCAGCATGAATTGAGCAAAGTGGCTTGACAAAATTAAACATACAAGTGAAAAGAAAGGCGTACTTTTAGCTGGAAATAGGGTCCATAATTTTAATCATGGTTATACTGGTTCCATCAGCATGGGAACCGTACTGAAAACAGGAACACAGCTCACAAGGGAATGTCCCAAATGACATGATGTCACTTCTTAATTCCTTTATACAAGCAACTTGTTAAAAGGTTTTCAATATTTCTGCAAAAATCTGGAAATGTTCATATCCCATTAGTCAAATCCTCAACATGTGATTAAGGCTTTCAATCAGTCATACAATTGAGAGCCATTTCACCTGATTATACAGATGGTTTCTTCGCTTGACATATTTCTTCCGCTCCTGTTCAGCTTTCTCAATCTGGGCTTGCAGCCGGTAATTATCAAGTATAGCTGAAATCTGCACAGAAAACAGAGGAAAACTCAAGCTACAAGCAATGTATACATGTAAAGAAAAAACATAACCAAATTATAATTTATCAATGGTATATAACTGTATGCTACAATAATATAGGACCATATACCCCATGTTTGGACATTTTTATAAGAACCATTTATTTTGCAAGTATCATGTTTCCCATTGATCTCTTTGGATAGTAAGATTGTTGCCCAGCCTTCTCAGAGGAGGATAGAAAGTGGAGGTAGAAAGTGCAACTAGGCACATCAAGTATCTCAGCAGCTGGAAATCAGAGATTAGGCCATAGCACATCGTCAGGGAGAATAATATCTAACCACAGCTTGTTGCCTATTTGGAGCAAGCTATTGAAAGTTAATGTCACACAAATGCAGGCTGAAGTCAGGCACACAGGCCTCAATGCTAGACGGGTATATAAGCAAGTATGATGATAGTGTGGCGTGATATGTTTCAGTCTCCTCCAACAGATTCCACAAGGAGAATCAGCAGTTTATAAAATCTGTAGAACCAGCGAGGATTCAAATGTGACCATATTACAAACATGGAAAAGAACAAATTGTAGGATATCTCAGTCAAAAAACTTCTTACAAACATGGAAAAGAACAAATTTTAGGATATCTCAGACAAAAAACTTCTTACAAACATGGAAAAGAACAAATTGTAGGATATCTCAGACAAAAAACTTCTTACAAACATGGAAAAGAACAAGCTGTAGGATATCTCAGACAAAAAACTTCTTACAAACATGGAAAAGAACAAATTGTAGGATATCTCAGACAGAAAACTTCTTAGAAACATGGAAAAGAACAAATTGTAGGATATCTCAGCCAGAAAACTTCTTACAAACATGAAAAAGAACAAATTGTAGGATATCTCAGACAAAAAACTTCTTACAAACATGAAAAAGAACAAATTGTAGGATATCTCAGACAGAAAACTTCTTACAAACATGGAAAAGAACAAACTGAAGGGTATCTCAGACAGAAAACTTCTTACAAACATGGAAAAGAACAAATTGTAGGATATCTCAGACAAAAAACTTCTTACAAACATGGAAAAGAACAAATTGAAGGATATCTCAGACAAAAAACTTCTTACAAACATGGAAAAGAACAAATTGTAGGATATCTCAGACAGAAAACTTCTTACAAACATGGACAAGAACAAATTGTAGTATATTTCAGACAGAAAACTTCTTACAAATATGGAAAAGAACTGAAGGATATCTCAGACAGAAAACTTCTTAAAAACATGGAAAAGAACAAATTGTAAGATATCTCAGACAAAAAACTTCTTACAAACATGGAAAAGAACAAATTGTAGGATATCTCAGACAAAAAAACTTCTTACAAACATGGAAAAGAACAAACTGAAGGGTATCTCAGACAGAAAACTTCTTACAAACATGGAAAAGAACAAATTGTAGGATATCTCAGAAATCAACAAACTAAGGATCAATTCTGACCTAACAGCAAATTCTGTAAGTGTGTGTAGTATTGGTGCATTATGTAGTGCATTATGAAACTAGCACATCAATTATCAATACATGTATTCAATTCAAACATGCATGTCTATCGTACTACAACCTCAATACTCAGCCGTTACTATCACCTGAACAAACTAGGATACTTCTTCCTTTACCTCAAGCTCTTAATCCAACTAAAAATGTGTTACTCTGTGAACTGTGAACGATACCAAAAGGTCCAGAGAGAACACTTGACGGCACTTCTAGCTGACACATTCCGAGACTGTGTAACCAGGAGGGAGACACATTTCTGGTTGTGTGCAGTATCACAAGTGAACTTCTCTGGATGTTTATCTGTAGTTCAGTTTTGAGTAGCCCCAGCCTTTTTAAGCAGACAAACACACACACACATATACAAAGAGGCAGATAGTGACAATAAGAAAATATATAGGCATACCCTTTTAGCGTATGGGTTTTCCAGCTCTGGCCAGGGGCCTGCAGCTAAGGACAAACAAGGAAAAAACCAATAAATTATTGTCAATTCCGGTATTTGTGTATCTTTTTAAAACTATCAATGAAGATAATCTCACACCAAAGCTTTTGTTGGGTGTTTGTAATATAACAAGAGAGGCAAGCAAAGAAAACATGTCTTTAATGTTATTCATGTCACAAACAGGCACCAAGAGTTCCTGCTACTGAAGCCTATATCAGAAAAGCATTTCATCTCTGGACACTTTCCTAAATAAGGACAGTTAATGTGATCATTTACTTGGGCCCTCGTGAGGGAATTGAAGTGCCTCAGAGGTATGGTATTTGCTTTAAACTCAGACAGGTATGGTATTTGCTTTAAACTCAAACAGGTAGGGTATTTGCTTTAAACTCAAACAGGTATGGTATTTGCTTTAAACTCAGACAGGTATGGTATTTGCTTTAAACTCAAACAGGTAGGGTATTTGCTTTAAACTCAAACAGG